GTGCTGCCTGTCGAAGCAAAAATGGAGCTCGTGCTGCCTGTCGAAGTGACCGCGGAGCTTCTGCTGTCTATCGGTTCAACTGAAGTTGTGCCTGTCGAAGTACTTGTGGAGCTTGTGCTGCCTGTCGAAGCAAAAATGGAGCTCGTGCTGCCTGTCGAAGTGACCGCGGAGCTTCTGCTGTCTATCGGTTCAACTGAAGTTGTGCCTGTCGAAGCAAAAGTGGAGCTTGTGCTGCCTGTCGAAGCAAAAGCGGAGCTTGTGCCTTCTGTCGAAGTACTTCTGCTTTGGCTTTCTGCTTTGGCTTCTGCTATGGAGGAGAATGTCTCTGCAACAGCTAAGCTCGTGCTGCTCGCATCCACTTCCGGCCCTTCGGTCTCGTCCACGTGGTCGCGCGACCGGCTTCGGTCTCTCTGCGTAGGACGCTCACGGTACGACCCGAAGCGGAGGGACCAAGGACTTCGTTCCCAAGCTCGTCCCATCTGCCAAGTGGCCAAGACGCCAAGGCCAAGGCCAAGCACCGCCGCCAGCCGGACCATGCGGCACGGAAATACAGGCCAAGAGAACGTATGAAGAGGAGTACTAGTCCAAGAAGGGTACCTGAAACAACTAGGCATAATATATAGTACCATGAATTTCAAAGGCGATAGTTCAAGGGTATAATATCAAAAACTGAGATTGCATCGCAACCAATTATGTCAAAACTGGCTTGGGTGCCAGTGTGCCATAATCATGGTCCTCATTTTTCGTTCTCAGGGTCACGCTTGTCTTCTGTATCTCATCTTCCAACACAATTGGGTGTCTATGTACATAGGAATACCCTGGCCCTGGCTGGGTAGACTGGTCGAACTCTTTTCCGAACCCAACCCCAGGGGGTCGGGACGAATGGGAGGTCTCGATCGAACGGAGCGAGCATCTGAGCTCCCAATTCTCCGGATTGTGGATGGACACCAGCAGTTTTAGGATGGGCATGGCAGAAAAGAACCATGGAAACCCCATGAAAAGGAGCCATGACGAACCTCGAAAACAGCTCGTGAGCTGAGCTCTTTAAGCATTTCTCATTACCAGTCTCGCACTCCAAAAGGGCGGCGAACAGGAGATGCATCACTGATGAGTCCGAGTCCGAGTCCAAAGAGTCCAAGTACCGATGTGATCCGAGCCCCGGGTGTTCAACAGCCAAAACGGCAGAAGGATGCCGAATTGGCAGAAGGATGCAGACCGCCTATTCATGCTCAACGATCCAAGTTTTGATGAAGCGAATTGCCTTCCGCCGTACACTAAGGAGTGGGAAGGAGTGTGGTTAGTTACTGTTGCTTCATTTGGGACAAAAAACAGCCGCCTCGGCCAACGGAGACGCACAAAAACTTGAACATATACTGGCAACTTACTGAACAGAAGCATTTTCCTCAACCGCATTAGAGTTCAACTCTCTGCCTCAAACACGTGGAAATACGAGTTCGCCCTTGTCCTGTTGCTGCAGCAACCTGCGCCGAGTCCACCTTACAAAGCCTTACAAGGTGGTGGTGGACTCGGTGCGTCCAACTGCCACGCCGCGCTGTTGTCCAAACTGCTCATCCGTCCCTGTTCATACCACGTGCAGTTCCACCTCAACCCGCTCCGAGCGGCCACTTGTTTCTGCATCTTCACGTGCCGCTCGGCACCTCGGAGGAGGCGCGGATCGTTTGCGGCGTGCGGAGGCCGAGGAGGCGTGGACCGTTTGAGGTACCCGTGGAGCGTGCGGGACCCGGTTGGGCACTGCTTGGGCTGGGACTCGCCCCGAAGCACTGGGACTCGAGTTGAGGGATCGAAGCACTGGGACTGGATCGAATTCAGCACGGTCACTTGATCTGGATTCACCGGTCAGCTGGATTCTGGGTTCTTTCCTTGTGAGTGCTGGAAGGGACGGCACGCTACCACCCAAATGGGACGGATTCAAAGCGCACTTGATCGGCAGAGGGAAAACACTCCCAACAAACCTGGCAACAGGGCCCCAAGTCCAAACAGACTGCTCTGGTTCCAGGTGGCGCGTGACACGGAAAAACGATGGGGTGGTGGCTTCTCACCCGGGTTTTCGAGGTCATGTCACCTGGGGTTTGGCCGTTTCACCTAGGTGTTTCATGTCACCTAGACCAGCGGACTAGCTGGACTCGAGAGATGGCAACGGACTCCTTAGGGCAGTTGGATGTCACAAGACGGGGTGGTTTTAGTCCCGTCCAGTGAGTGGATGTGACAGGGGCACCCCGACTACCTCCGTTTGTTCGGCACCCCGTCTTGTGACTCCTGGAATATGGCTCTTCACAAAAAAGATCAAAAAAGAAACAGATCGGGTTTACTGAGAAACATTGCTGCCAGAAACGCCCTTGACGAAATGATCTTATATGATCGTCGTGAATGTCTTCGATCGAGAGGTTCCCCCAATAACTCAAGAAGGGTTTAATGAATCCGTGGGTCTTTGCCATCATCCTCTCCTACTATACAACGGATTTGAAAAAAGAAGACGAAAACGGCAAATCCAAAGCTCGGAAGAGCGAGGGGTCGGTTCCGACATGAGGAGCGTCGACCTGACCCAGCCGCTGATGCCTTTACCTACTGTAGATAGTTGGTTTCATTGATGTTCCCATATGGAGATGAACATGGTATGGCCATGCATGGCCATGCACACCCCCACACGTCATGGGCTGAAAATGTCTATTGCTACTGTCCCCACCCGTGGATGCGAACGTAGACAATGTAGACTGTTGGTTTGATTCTATTCATCAAGACGTATACGAAGTCCACATGATACCTCTCCCAGGTTGGGCTGCTTCTTCTTCGGTTGAGTCTAGATGTCATGGTCATGGACTATGAAAATCCCACGTCATGGGAAAAACTTCAGAAAAACGACTAAGTGGCATAATGCGCCACCTTCCAAAACCCGGATTGGGGGTTCAAAAGATGGAAAGTTAGCTGTTAGCTTCTGTTGAGAAGCCAAAACCCAGGCGTCACGACACCCGGATCCCGGGTCAATGACGGATGACGGCTCCGCACGGGATGCCCAGACGGAAGCTCCGCCGAAGTCCACACGGCAAAAGAGAACGGAACGTCTGAGCCTTTGGTTCGGAACAAAAACAGAACACCCAACAGAGGTTGAAGGACCGTTTTTGGACTATCCCAGTTCGGTACCCCAGTTGACGGGCCCTAGTTCAGGTCACTCAACCTCTCTTGGACGGTTTGGAGAAGACCCTCCATGGTGTCGACGTGCCAAAAGCGGAAAGCGAGCTGAGACGCCGGGCAGTCCTGAATCTTCTGCAGCTTGTCCTTCTCCGTGTCGATCGCCCGTTGGATCTGGCGAGGTGACGGCGAGACGGGCGGAGTCGCCGACCGAGGTCGAGCCGGAGGTGCCAAAAGAGGCGGTCGACATCTCCATGGGTGGATTATGGCTGGATGCCTACATTGACCATACATAAGACCCGGCAAATATGGGCAGCTTCGCCAACAAGTCGTGTCTGGGTGTGGTCATTGGTTGAACAGCTGAAACATGTTCGTGATCCCACCCAGGTTGTGCAGCTTCGGTCACACAAAGACCCTATAGCGGCCCTAGCATTGATCATGTAGACTCTTGATTCATAAATGCCCCAAGCTTGATGCTCTTCATCAAGAGTCTACATAGTTACGACGGCTCTTCACTTGGATGGCCACCATCCCCACCCGCACCCCGAACACCACGCATCCGCGCTCCAACCCCCCGCCACGCATCCCGACCCGGTGGTGCTCCGCGCTCCGCGGGTCGTCGCACAACGGCGCCTCTGCTTGGGAGCGATCCTTCAGTTGCTGGAGCTTCTCAGCTCCTGCGCTGAGCCTGAAGGGGCGCGAGACCGACCGATTCAGAGCCCTCTCTGGCTTCCGGCGGAGCAGTGCGCTTCCGCGCAGCTGCGGCGGAACCGCGAGGGAGGCGAGGATGGGCCAAAGGGGGGGGTGGCCGTGCTGTCTTGATTTGGGGCGGTGGATGAGACAAGGACCAGGTGGGAACCTCCAGGTAGTTCCCAATGTTCATCACAAGCCATTTGTTGGAAGAACAACTGCCTTGCCCAAGGCGCCCATGTAGGTGGTTCAGGTTGCTCTTGGACGAAACACAGTTCCTCCCGTGCCCAGAGGTACGAATCTCAACCAAAAAGGGGGTGGGAAGTAGGAAGCCCCCTATGTTATGCCCCTGTGTTCCTGAAATATCTTCCAACTGGTCAAAAACTATCTGACCACACAAATGAAACGGGTCAGGTTGAAAAGGACATCCTTTCAGGAAGCTGATGCTGGAAGAACCGACCCGTTTTTTAAGCGAAAATGGTGGGTTGTCCAACCATGCAGAGTTGACGAGCTGAGCTGAAATCGATGTAGTGAATCCCCAGCTCCGTCGATCAGGTGTTGCCATCCTCCGTAATCATGGGTGTCTGCTTCAAAACCCAAAGAAATATCGAAAGCATTAGTGATGAGTTCTCAGTGGGTTCCTAAGACTTTTCTGAAGTCCAAGAGGGAAACCCTTCCTGGCTTGTCCTTGGACCACACCAAAAAGACATCAAGGACTCATTCCGCCCGCAGAATTTGGGCTTCCCCTGCTCTTCTTGGCTCTCGTTCTCGCGTTCTGCCTGAAGCGTGGCCATCCGACGAAGAATTTCAATCCGACGATGTGAATGATGGGAGGGAGGCAAACCCCAGAATCCCCAACCAGCAAGTCAAGTTGTGCAGCGAGTTAAGAAAAGAGACCAACCAAACATGCCGCTTACGGTCGTTGTCCACTTTGCAGGTGTTTGAACAAATGCTGAGATCAGGTTGCTCCTCCTTGTAGCAAACGGGGAAGGAACTCATTAGAATAGAGAAGTTGCTTGGGAAGTCTTGGCAGGGCTTCCATGACCACGATGTGCACCTTAAGCGTTCCACATAGCTTACAGACCAGCGGACGGCAAGTGCACAATACACAATTGCACCATATTGCACCACCTTGTGCATCTCAGGCAACCTTCCCTATTCGTGCCCTGACTTGACATGAAAACAGAGAAGTGCACATCGACTATAACCTACACCTTACACGATATAGTTGAGGATTTTGACACCCATGTGAGTGTCTGCAAACCGAGCAAGTCGGCCCTCTTATAGTTGCGTCCCCAGGACAACAAACGAAGTGGCCCTCCGATCCAAGTCCCCTCATCCTGCTCATCCCCTGCTCAAACGAAGGGGCGACGGATCCGGCCCAACCTCTTTGAGGATCTTCGCGACGCGAGAGCCTTTGGCCTCTGCCTGGGGAGCCAAGCGGCGCGTAGCCCGGAAGCTCGCGGTTCGCGGCGCGGGGATCGGTCGGGGGCCGGAAGAAGAAGGAAAGAAAAGGAACAAGGATGGAATGAACAATGGGTTTTGAGGAAAATCACCACCAATAAGCTTTCTTACAAGGCAAAGAGAATTAAGGGTCGTGTCTTAACGGAATCGTGTTATCCTAAAAAAGGGAATCACGAGAGAGAGAGAGAGAGGGTTTTGAACCACCGACCACCAGAGGGTTTGCAACGGTTTGAGAGGTCCTTTCTCTGAGAAAACCGGGACCAGGACCGGGCCGACAAAGGAAGGCGTGTGG